CTTCCGATGTTCTTATTATGCTTTTAGATTCAGAACATGTCTGGGAATCTGGGAGAAGGGAGGGGGGCAGAACTTAAACTTGTTTGGTATTTCCAGCATGCCATCTTATGTACCGAATGTTTCGGCACTAGCAGTGTATGGGACTCTTGTTTTATTGCAATTGAATTTTAATCTGTTTTAATGTGAATGTATGGCCATTTATGGACCAAATGTGTAAGCCGCCCCGAGCCCACTCACAGGGAGGGTGGGGTATAAATTAAATAAATAAATAAATAAGTCCCCCTTCTCACACACAGACACACACAAACACACACACACACATACACACAAACTCTCTCACACACACACACAAACACACACACACACAAACACACACTGTTGCCTTTGTGGAAAACTCAGGGCGGCCTGGTTCTCGGCTTCCCCCACACAGAAACACACACACAGACACACACACAGACACACACACACACACAAACACACACACACACAAACACACACACACAAACAGACACAGACACACACACAAACACACACACAGACACACACACAAACACACACACAGACACACACAGACACACACACACAGACACAAACACACAAACACACACACAAACACACACACAGAAACACAGAAACACACAGAAACACACACAGACACACACAGACACACACACACACACACACAGACACACACACACAAACACACACACACAAACACACACACAGAAACACACAAACACACAGACACACACACAGACACACACACAGACACACACAGACACACACACAAACACAAACACACACACAAACACACACTGTTGCCTTTGTGGAAAACTCAGGGCGGCCTGGTTCTCGGCTTCCCCCACTCCGAGTCTTCCAAGGGCGCCCATCTTCCAGAGCACCCAGGAGGGCGCCCCGTCTGTCAGCCTGGCCCTCAGGAAAGCCACCCAGAAGTCTCAGGAGATCGGGACCCTGCTTACCTTCTGCCCTGGGGGGCCCAGGTTTCCCAGGCCTCCGGGGGGGCCTTGGGGACCCTGTGGTGAGAAAAGACAGTTTGCGTTACAACTGAGCCAGCCCTGGAGATTGAGTCACTGGGCGGGAGGGGGGAGGCAGGGACGGGCACACACTCACGTCAGCACCGGCAGGTCCGGCTGGGCCTCGTGGCCCCGGGGGTCCGGGGGGTCCCTGTGGGGAGAGATCAGAAGGTGTGACATGATCGAGGTTTATAAGATTATGCGTGGGATAGAACAGGTTGAGAAAGAAGGACTTTTCTCCCTTTCTCACAGGACAAGAACTCGTGGGCACTCCATGAAATTGCTGAGCAGTCGGGTTAGAACAGATAAAAGGAAGTCCTTCTTCACCCAAAGAGTGATTAACACTTGGAATCCACTGCCCCAGGAGGTGGCAGCTACAAGCATGGACGGCTTCAAAAGAGAATTAGATAAGCATATGGAGCAGAGGTCCATCAGTGGCTATTAGCCACAAGGTATAGATAGGGGCTCTCGGTCTGGGGCTAGTGATGCTCTGTATTCTTGGTGCTTGGGGGGGCAAGAGTGGGAGGGCTTCTAGTGTCCTGGCCCCACTGCTGGACCTCCTGATGGCACCTGGCATTTTTGGCCACTGTGTGACAGAGTGTTGGACTAGATGGGCCATTGGCCTGATCCAATATGGGCTTCTTTTAAGTTCTTATGGGGCAAGGGATGCTCCGTCTTCTTGGCGCTTGGGGGTCGGTGCAACAGTGGGAGGGCTTCTAGTGTCCTGGCCCCATGCTGGACCTCCTGATGGCACCTGGTATTTTTGGCCACTGTGTGACAAAGTGTTGGACTAGATGGGCCATTGGCCTGATCCAACATTGGCTTCTCTTAAGTTCTTATGGGGCAAAGGATGCTCTGTCTTCTTGGCGCTTGGGGGACGGGGCAACAGTGGGAGGGCTTCTAGTGTCCTGGCCCCACTGCTGGACCTCCTGATGGCACCTGGCATTTTTGGCCACTGTGTGACAGAGTGTTGGACTAGATGGGCCAAGAACTTAAAAGAAGCCCATGTTGGCTTCTCTTAAGTTCTTATCGGGCAAAGGATGCTCTGTCTTCTTGGCGCTTGGGGGACGGGGCAACAGTGGGAGGGCTTCTAGTGTCCTGGCCCCACTGCTGGATCTCCTGAGGGCACCTGGTGTTTTTGGCCACTGTGTGACAGACTGTTGGACTGGATGGGCCATTGGCCTGATCCAGCATTGGCTTCTCTTAAGTTCTTATGGGGCAAAGGATGCTCTGTCTTCTTGGCGCTTGGGGGACGGGGCAACAGTGGGAGGGCTCCTAGTGTCCTGGCCCCACTGCTGGACCTCCTGAGAGCACCTGGTGTTTTTGGCCACTGTGTGACAGACTGTTGGACTAGATGGGTCATTGGCCTGATCCAGCATTGGCTTCTCTGGTGTTCTTATGTAATACTAGATGGTCAAATAAATCCAGGTGGGTCGCTGTGTTTGTGTGAAGCAACAGAACAGAGTTTGAGTCCACCGTCACCTTTGGGACCAACAAAGTTTAATTCTGGGTACAGGCTTCCGTGTGCATGCCCACGTCTTCAAAAGTGAGCATGCCCACGAAAGCTTATCCCCAGAATTACACTTAGATGATCAATGAGTTCAATTTGAGAACGTGTTCTGCTCCAGTGCTTCCATTCCGATTCGTGCTGCAATCTTGGATTTAATAAAGTTTGAAAACTGTAAAGAAAAGAAAATAACCAGCGAGTCGAATTTCGGGGGCAGAGAGAGGCGCTCGTAGGGAAGGGGTGGTACGTACCATTGGCCCCACGTCTCCTGTCTCGCCCTTTTCCCCAGACGGTCCCGGAAGACCCTGTCCGGAGAGAGAGAAAGAGAAAGGGAAGAGTCCCGAGGTTTTTGGTGCACCAACCTGGGGGGTCGGGAGGGAGGAGGGGCCGCTTCCCGCAAGCTCACCTGCAACCCGATGGGCCCGGGGGGGCCGTTGAACCCTCGCGTCCCCTCGTCGCCTTTGGGCCCAAAGTGGCCCTGGAGACCTCTCGCTCCGGGCTCCCCGTCAGCACCCTATAGCGGGAGAGAGAGACACACAAAAGGAATTTCAGACAGACTATATATTCCGGAAGAGGAACGGTTCCCAAACCGTTTCTGGTCTGTCATTTCAGACAGAACCGTTTTAGAACCGGTTCCCTACCAGAATATATTTGTAATTTCAGACACAAACGCTTCTGTCCTGTTTAGGAAACGGGGCTGAAGCGTTTTACCTGTCAACCGCTTCCAAGTAGTCTCCAGTTTCCTCTCCCGGTTCCGATGCGCTTTTTCCCTGCCGTTTTTCGCCTGCGTGGGTGATCTCCGGCTTTTTTGGGGGGGGAACATTCGCTTTATAGCGTTATAGTGCTATAGCGCTATATCGCTATAGCACTATAAAGCAAATGTTTAAAAAAAAAGCCGGAGATCGCCTGCACAGGCGAAAAATGGCGGGGGGAAAGCGGTGCAGTCTGAAATGGCAAACCGCTTCAGATCCAGCTCTTTACCGGAAGGGGAAAGCCATGTGTGAAATGGCAGCCCTATACCGGTTTACTCCACGACGGATCAAAAACGGCTTCAAAACAAGTTAAAAAGGGTAATGTGAAATTCCTCACAGAGAGGACTGACCACTGAAAACTTCTGATGCACAGAGCCCCCACTGGGGAAACACAACCCGCACTGCAAAATCCGTGCCCGGTGTCGCTGTATTCTGTACGGGGGAGACTGCAGCTGGGATGGAAGTATGGGTGCCGGCCAATGCCGCCATCGGCTATGAATTATACTAGCACTTTATGATAGGTTTTATTCTGTATTATCTGTGGCTTTATTGAAATATGGAGCTTTAACTGTTCTCACGTATTGTCTGTAAGCCGCCCTGAGCCTGCCTTGGTGGGGAGGGCGGGGTACAGATTATAGTAAAAGGTAAAGGTTCTCTTGCTGGAAAGCCAGTCGTGTCCGACTCTAGGGTTGCGGTGCTCATCTCCGTTTCCAATCCGAAGAGCCAGCGCTGTCCGAAGACATTTCCGTGGTCATGTGGGCGGCATGACTAAACACCGAGGTGCACGGAACGCTGTTCCCTTCCCACCGAAGTGGTACCTATTTATCTACTTGCAATTTCTTGCTTTCGAACTGCTAGTTTGGCAGGAGCTGGAAGTAGAGATGGGAGCTCACTCCGTCCTGCGGCACACTCGGGTCTGAAACTGCTGAACTTCCACAGCCTGCAGTTCAGCGTCTTAACCACTTGAGCCACCGCAGCTCCTTACAAATTATAGGAATAAATAAATAATAATAAACAGGGGTCATTTCCTGCGGGAGCGCACAGGAGCAGAGCTCCAGCAGTAAAGAGCCCAGGGGACGGGCACATGCAACGAGCCCCACCCCCTACTCCCAGCAGCCCTCAGTCAGAGCAAGAAGCAGCCAGGTAAGCTGCAGAGCCCCCCCGCCCCCCCGCCCCAAAACAGTCCAGTGGCACCTTTAAGACCAGGTTTTATTCAGGTACAAGCTCTCCCTCCTCTGCGAGGACAGATCTGCATATTCCCCCCCCCCAATAGCTAGCAATCCAAAACAGTCCAGTGGCACCTTTAAGACCAAGTTTTATTCAGGTACAAGCTCTCCCTCCTCTGCGAGGACAGATCTGCTCGTTCCCCCCCCCCATAGCCAGCAATCCAAAACAGTCCAGTGGCACCTTTAAGACCAGGTTTTATTCAGGCACAAACTCTCCCTCCTCTGCGAGGACAGATCTGCACGTCCCCCCCCCAATAGCTAGCAATCCAAAACAGTCCAGTGGCACCTTTAAGGCCATGTTTTATTCAGGCACAAGCTCTCCCTCCTCTGCGAGGACAGATCTGCATGTCCCCCCCCCCCCAATAGCTAGCAATCCAAAACAGTCCAGTGGAGTCTGAGCGGTGGGAGTTGCCTTCTGACACACTTCCGGTGATGTCAGGGGGTGTGGCATATGCTAATGAGCTCCTGCACCTCTTTTTCTACGAAAGGACCCCTGATAATAAACAAACACCACAGTGCCCCAGTGGACCCGCAGGGGGTGGGAGAACAGGGGAGGCCTCGTGGGACCACAACGCCCTCCATGGTGAGGACACTGTCGGTTGCTGGGTGAAGAGGTGTCTCCCTTACGCCCCGGGGCTGAGAGGAGGGGATGTGCCCTTGGAGTGTACAAGGGGCTTGAAAGAAGCCAGAGGTGGCCCACACTGCAGGGCGTGGTACTTACTGCTGCTCCCGGTTGCCCGACGCCTCCCAATGGGCCGGGAGGGCCGGGTGGCCCCTGTGGAGGAGAACAGGACAAGGATGCCATGAGTGACTCCGATGGGGAAGGTGGAAACAACAGCCCCCCCCCACACACACACACACACACACACACACACACACACACACACACACTTCCTCTCCCTCCCTCCCTCCCTCCCCCGGGTGAGAGGGGTGCCCTCCAAACATGCCGGATCACACTTACATGCTCCCCTTTGCCGCCCTTGGCTCCCTTCTGTCCCGGATCGCCCCCTTCGCCCTGGAGAGAAGAGAGGAGGATCACGTGAGGGAGCTCTGTCCAGAAGCCAGAGGGGTGGCCGGATGGGGGTCCCGCAAAAGGCACAGCTGGGAGCTCTTACCGGATGGGGGTCCCACAAAGGGCACAGCTGGGGGCTCTTACCAGATGGAGGTCCCGCAAAGGGCACAGCTGGGGGCTCTTACCGGATGGGGGTCCCGCAAAGGGCACAGCTGGGGGCTCTTACCGGATGGGGGTCATGCAAAGGGCACAGCTGGGGTCTCATACCGGATGGGGGTCCCGCAAAGGGCCCAGCCGGGGGCTCTTACCGGATGGGTTTCATGCAAAGGGCACAGCTGGGGGCTCTTACCCGATGGGGTCCCGCAAAGCGCATAGCTGGGGGCTCTTACCAGATGGGGGTCATGCAAAGGGCATGGCCGGGGGCTCTTACCGGGTGGAGGTCATGCAAAGGGCACAGCTGGGGGCTCTTGCCAGATGGAGGTCATGCAAAGGGCCCGGCTGGGACTCTTACCGGATGGAGGTCATGCAAAGGGCACGGCTGGGGGCTCTTACCAGATGGGGTCCCACAAAGGGCACGGCCGGGGGCTCTTACCAGATGGAGGTCATGCAAAGGACACGGCCGGGGGCTCTTACCGGATGGAGGTCATGCAAAGGGCATGGCTGGGGGCTCTTACCGAATGGGGGTCATGCAACGGGCACAGCCGGGGGCTCTTACCAGATGGGGGTCATGCAAAGGGCACGGCCGGGGGGGCTCTTACCTTGTCGCCGTCCTCACCTGGGCCCCCCGGGGGTCCGGCTGGACCAGGCAGCCCGACAGGACCCTGGACTCCGTCACGGCCGGCGGGGCCGAGGGGACCTTTCTCGCCCTGAAGGGAGGAAAAGGGACAGTGAGGCCGAGGGGCAGTGAGGGCCGGCTGGCTGCCCACTGTGGAGGGGGATTCAGGTCTCCAGAACCTCCAGGCCTCTCACCCCAGGCATCACAGTCAGGCCCAAACGCCGACGGCTCCTGGATCCAAGCCCACCTACTCCCCACACTGATGTGGGGGGCGGTCACGTGCCCTCCCCGCTCGGCTTTCACTCCCCCGTGCTTTCGTTTCCCAACCTTGTGGCCCGAACAGATTTCCATTGCTGCTACCAATCTTATTGTTGTTTTAATGATTCTAATGTGAGATCATTGTAACGAGTCTTTGACTCGATTTGATGTGATCCGCCCTGAGCTCGTCTGGGGAGGGCAGAATAAAAAATCCCTAAATAAATAAATGAAGAAGAAAAAGGAGAGATTGGACTGGATTTCTACCCCATGCCCTTCACTCGGCGTCTCAGAGCGGCTCGCGATCTCCTTTCCCCTTCCGACAACAGACAACCCTGCGAGGCAGGCGGGGCTGAGAGCGCTCTCTCGAGAACCACCCTAGAGAGGACAGCTCTGACAGAACTTGTGACTGACCCAAAGTCACTCAGCTGGCTGCATGTGGAGGAGTGGGGGAATCGAACCCAGTTCTCCCAGATTAGAGTCTGTGCTCCTAACCACTACACCGGGGGGGGGGTGGTGGCCAAACTGTGGCTTGGGAGCCACATGCGGCTCTTTCACACATAATGTGCGGCTCCCGGCAGGGCAGCTGGGGAAGCGAAGGGGAGGCGTGCTTTTTCTCCCTCCCTCCCTCCCTCCTTCCCTCCCATCTATTTGCTTTCTTTGTTTCTCTCTCTCTTTCTCGCCACCTCTCTCTTTCCACCTCTTTCGTTCTTTCTTTCCACCTCTCTCTTTTTCTCTCCCTCTTATAGGCAAATAAATAGCGTTAGCAAGCAAATATCATTGGACAAATAGAAGAAGAAGAGGAGATTGGATTTATGCCCCGCCCTTCACTTGGAGTCTCAGAGCGGTTTACAAACTCCTTTCCTTTCCCCTCCCCACAACAGACACCCTGTGAGGTGGGTGGGGCTGAGAGAGCTCTGACACAAACTGCTCTTTTTCAAGGACAGCTCTGACAGAGCTTGTGACTGACCCAAGGTCACATCAGCAGGTGCAAGTGGAGGAGTGGGGAATCAAACCCGGTTCTCCCAGATTAGAGTCCGCACACTTAACCACTATACTTGCTCTCAGTTTGAAGAAGAAGAAGAGATTGGATTTATACCCCGCCCTTCACTTGGAGTCCCAGAGCGGCTTACAAAGTCCTTCCCCTTCCCCTCCCCACAACAGACACCCTGTGAGGTGGGTGGGGCTGAGAGAGCTCTGACACAAACTGCTCTTTTTCAAGGACAGCTCTGACAGAGCTTGTGACTGACCCAAGGTCACATCAGCAGGTGCAAGTGGAGGAGTGGGGAATCAAACCCGGTTCTCCCAGATCAGAGTCCGCACACTTAACCACGACACCAAACTGGCTCTCTTCAATATCTGTTTTGACCCTTTGGTTTTTTATTTCTGGCCGTCACATTTAGCGCTAATAGAAAAGCAAACCTGCACATATTTTCTGATAAAAACGTGCGTGTGCTATTTGCCCATGCCCCCGCGGCTCTCAAACCTCTGACGCTTATTCTGTGCGGCTCTTGCGTTGAGCAAGTTTGGCCACCCCTGCGTGACTACACCAAACTGGGAGGAAAAGGGACAGTGAGACCGAGGGACCGCAGCCAGGCCCAAACGTCTACGCCACCTGGATCCAAGCCCACAGGAAACCTGGCAATCTACCGGCTCCTGACACTGGTGTGTGTTGGGGAGGCGTCACGCAATTTTCACTCCCCCATTCCCAGCTGTCCTGACTCTCCTCCCCTCCCCCCTTCCTGGGGGAACCCAGGAGTCCTGGTGCTACCCCCCTACTCACAGGCACACCCTTCTCCCCCGCAGGGCCAGGAGGTCCTTGAGGCCCGGGCCTTCCCGGGGGTCCGATGGGGCCTCCAGACCCAGGTGTCCCCCTCTCCCCCGGAGACCCCTGGAAGAAGAAGAAAAAAAGAGTACCCTTGAGTCAAAACCTAGAGGAAGCAGAGTTTCAGGGGAAAAGGCATTCATACCAGCATCACTCCGTCCCCTTTGCCTCAGAGGTACCATCAGATACCACAGTGCGATGCTCAAAGCTGACGCAGGCCCTCACCAAACACAGGGGCACCAAAGTGAGCGGCCAGAAGGCTGAATCGGGAGAATATACGTAGGACTCGTTTGCTAGAAAATGTATACTGCAATGCATTTGAACGTCATGTTAAACACCAATAAATATAAATACAAAAAAAGAGAAAAGACAAGGAGAATATACGTATGAACCCGTTGCAAGGGAAATTTAAAAACGTGCAGGGAAACGGGGTCCATACAAACAGCTGTTATAAAAATAAACGAGAATGAGTCTAGCGAGGGATTTCAGCTGCGACGGCTGGGAATGGAGCCTCTATGTTCAGAAGCAGTCTACCATCCACGGGGGAGAAAACAATAGAAAACCGACCTTCCCTTGGCTGCGTTTCCAGCTGGCCACTGGCAATGGACAGGAAAGGGGACAAGGTGGGACCGGGGTGGGGGTGGGGAGATCTGATCCCACCAGGTGATTTTTCTGGTCAGTTCCATACAAGGCCGTTCCCTGCAGTAGCCACAGGACCCTCCTACTTCTAAACGGTTTGATTGACACGTCTGTGCCACAGGGCCAGGCGCTGAGCCTCGGATAACGCCCGGGGGCTCGTTCCTCAGCTGCAGAGATTTTGGGTGGGGGTTGGCACACAAGGACATGTTTGATCCCGCCCTACAGACGGGGGCATTTCCCCCTCTCCCTTCCCTCCCGCGCTGGATTCCCGGGACAGAATCATAGAATCGTAAGAGTCGGAAGGGATTTCCAGGGTCATCTAGTCCAACCCCCCCTTGCACAATGCAGGGAATTCACAAATACCTCCTCCCACGCACACCCAGTGACCCTCTCCCGGGGGTCAGGACAGTAACGTGGGTCCGCCACCCGTGGCAGGTGGTTCAAGACTGAGATGCCCTCGCCACTTTGGGGGTCAGGAAGCAATTGTTTGGTCATCTGCTGGGCGTGGAGCCACAGCCACACCAGTGTTCCCTCTGAGCTGAGCGACCGTGAGCCGGCTCACAGTTTTTTAGCCTCCGGCTCACACATTTTGGTCTCGGCTCAGGAAGGAGGGCTCCAGGGCAAGCTAAGGCTGATTTCGCCCGATTTCCCCTGCAGTTTCATAATCCTGTTTTTTTGAGGATCACGAAACTGCGGAGGAAATCGGGCGAAGCCGTGGGTCAAATGCAGCCCCGCGGCTTCGGGTGTGAAATTGACCAATGGTATCGGGGCAAACGGCGGCGCAACATCGAGGCAGCTCTAGTGCGAAATCAGCCTAAAATTATGCAGAAGCCAAATCGCTCGATCACAGAGTGGAATTTTCGCTCACTGGACTCCACAGCTTAGAGGGAGCGTTCCCTCTAAGCTGAGTGAGCGTGAGCCGGCTCACAGCTTTTTAGCCTCCGGCTCACACATTTTTGTCTCGGCTCAGGCAGGAGGGCTCCAGGGCAGACTGATTTATGCAGAAGCCAAATCGCTCGCTCACCACTTTAAGGCTCACAGAGTGGGATTTTCGCTCACAGGACTCCGCAGCTTAGAGGGAGCATTGAGCCACACCCAGGCTGGGAACAGAAGATCTCCTTGGGCGGGAGGGCTGGGAGGGGGACAGGAGTACTTACGGCAGGTCCTGGGGGTCCGGCGGGTCCCTCGTTGCCTTTCAAACCACCCCCGCCCTGCAGAGAATGAGAGAGAGAGAGAGAACCTTGTTGGCCAGACTGGCACTGCTCACAAGAGGGGAGAGGGCAAGCGTGGGAGACGCAAAGAGAACCCCCCACCAGAGCCACCCCCTTTTTGTCTGGATGCTCTCATTACTTTGGATGGTCCCCGGTTGCTTCTTGCTCTCTAGGGACTTTCTCCTGTGCGGGCTGCACCCCCCTCCCGTGGAGGATTCGCCAAAGCGACTTCCCAGTCCCCTCCCAGTGACACGCCTACTCGTGAGTAGACGCAGCAGTGGAACACGGTGGGGGGGCGTCAAGGTGGGCCTTGCGAGAGTCCTTCTCTAAAGGACGGCACGATGCAATGAAGACACGATACGATGAAGACAGAAATAACATTGTGGAAGAAGAAGAGGAAGAAGAAGAAGAAGAGGAAGAGGAAGAAGAAAAGATGAAACAATTTTTCAAAATAGATGGCAGAAAGTTTATAACTGGGTGGAAAAAAAAACTGTTAGAAGATCTTCCATTTGTACTTCCAACAAATGTATATGTTTTACTATGTTCGTTATTTTATGTAATAGAAAATGTATAAATAAACTTATTAAAAGAAGAAGAAGAGGAGGAGGAGGAGGAAGAAGAGGAAGAGGAAGAGGAAGAAGAAGAGGAAGAAGAAGAGGAGGAAGAAGAGATTGGATTTATACCCCACCCTTCACTACCCAAAGGTGTCTCAGAGCGGCTTACAAGCTCCTTTCCCTTCCCCTTCCTACAACAGGCACCCCGTGAGGTAAAAGAAGAAGAGATTGGATTTATATCCCACCCTTCACTACCCAAAGGTGTCTCAGAGCAGCTTACAAACTCCTTTCCTTCCCCTCCCTACAACCCTGTGACGTAGGCGGGGCCGAGAGCGCTCTTGACAAAAACTGCTCTTTTTCAAGGACAGCTCTTATCAGAACTACGGCTTCCCCAAGGTCGTCCAGCCAGGTGCAAGTTGGGCAAAAGCCCTTTGTCTTAACTTAGGTCCCTCTGATCGGAAGCCTCGGGACAAAGTCAGAGTCCAGCGGCACCTTTAAGACCAACAAAGTTTAATTCTGCATGCACTACTTAGCAGCAGAGCCTTCCTCTTGGGGCTCGGCCAGGGCTCTTTTTGTAGCAGGAACTCCTTTGCATCTTAGGCGACACCAGGGGTCATTTCCTGCAGGAGCGCACAGGAGCGGAGCTCTGGCAGTAAAGAGCCCAGGGGGCAGAGCTCCAGCAGTAAAGAGCCCAGGAGGCGGGCACATGCAACAAGCCCCCCCCCCCCCGCAAGAAGAGCAAGAAGCTGCCAGGTAAGCTCCAGAGCCCCCCCGCCCCCCGCCCCAAAACAGTCTAGTGGCACCTTTAAGACCAAGTTTTATTCAGGCACAAGCTCTCCCTCCTCTGCCAGGACAAAGCTGAAAGTATTATTACATGAGAAGAGCTTGTTGAGAAAAGGTGGTCGGGACTGTTTGAGTGGATAGAGAAAGAGCGAAACAATAGACTCTAATGTATATTCATTTTAGTATATGTTTATTTTCTTGTAAACAATTTAAAATCTTATAAATAAAACTATAAAAAAAGAAAAAAAGAAGAAGGCAACACTCACCACTCAGGCTCCACTGGACTGTTTTGGATTGCTAGCTATTGTGGGGGGGGGGGTTGATGCAAAGATCACACCGGAGGGAGAGCTTGTACCTGAAGGCTGGCCAGGGGGGTGGGGGGCTCTGCAACTTACCTGCCTGCTTCTTGCACCTCGTGGCCCAACTGAGGGCTGCTGGGAGCAGGGGGTGGGGCTTGTTGCATGTGCCCGCCCCCTGGGCTCCTTACTGCCGGAGCTCCGCTCCTGTGTGCTCCGGCAGGAAATGACCCCTTTGTCTTCTCAAGACTGGCAGCGGCTCCCCAGGACCCCAGGCAGAGAAAGGTCTTCCCCACCACCTCCTGCCCGGACCTTTGAGCTGGAGATGCCGGGGACTGAACCCGGGACCTTCTGCACGCCAAGCAGATGCTCTGCCCCTGAGGCACGCCCCCTCCGTTACCAACACAAAATAGCTCAGATTTCCTCCAAAACGTTTCCCGCTTCTTCTCAGGAAGGTTGAACCACCCCACGCCTCCAACGTGTCCGGAAACTGAGCATCAACCCGGGAAGGGAGAAAAGATACATACAGGAGTCCCCGGCAGGCCGCGTTCTCCAGGGAAGCCTCGCAGTCCCGCTGGGCCGTCCTTTCCAAGGCCCCCGGGAGGGCCGGGATCCCCCTGAAACACAGACAGAAAACCTGGCTGTCCTACAAACGCGCTCAGCCCAGGAGCACAAAGACGGCCCTGGCCCCCCAACAGCCCCCCCCCCAGAAGACGGGCCTCAATTAACTTATGCAGGGCGATCACAGAGGAGGAAGGCCCCGCTCCTGGATTCCCCGCCAGGACGCTCTGCATCGGCCTTCCCCAAAGATCTCGTTCTTTGCCAGAGACCCCGAAACCTCCTCCAAGGCACTGCGCTTCCTGCTGCTCCCAAACGTTGACCTGGCAGCGAAAATACGGTTGAGGCTAGCAAAATTTCTACTTTGTGAGCTACTGGCATTAAAGTTGTGAGAGGGAGTAATTCAGCTACTGCATCAATTAGTTTGCTCTGGAGCCCTCCTTCCTGAGTTAAGACAAAAATGTGTGAGCCAGAGGCTAAAAAACTGTGAGCTGGCTCACACTAACTCAGCTTAGAGGGAACACTGGTTGCCAGCCTCTAGGCATCACGACCGATCTCCAGACTTAGGATTCTTAGAGGTAATTTGCTCCTGCTTACATTTATCAACTTCTTCATAGAATCATAGAATGTTAGTGTCAGAAGGGACCTTGCAGGTCATCTAGTCCAACCCCCCTGCACTCTGCAGGAGCAGAGCTGAAAGTTCTTGCCTAATTAAAGAGAGTTATGCTTTATTTTAAATGAAACCATTATCTCTAAGAAGTCCTCTGTTTTGCTCTTCTGGCCAAAGAAGAAGAAGAGATTGGATTTGTACCCCGCCCTTCACTCGGAGTCTCAGAGCGGCTTACAAATTCCTTTCCCTTCCCCGCCCCACAACAGACACCCTGTGAGGTAGACGAGGCTGAGAGAGCTCTTTCAAGAACTGCCCTTGAGAGAACAGCTGTGCCAGAAGCAATCTCTGAGCTTGGGAAGGAGGGCTCCAAAGCAAACTAATTTATACAGTAGACAAATCGCTCACTCACAACCTTCATGCCAGTAGCTCACAAGGCAAAATTTTTGCTCACAAGACTCCACAGCTTAGAGGGAGCACTGTCAGGCAAGGCAAGGTATAAATACAAATAATAAATCAATAAATTGCTCGCTCACAGCTTTAATGCCAGTAGCTCACAAAGCAGAATTTTTGCTCACAAGACTCCACAGCTTAGAGGGAGGCATTGGCCTTGATGATGACTGGTGTTCCCTCTAAGCTTAGTGAGTGTGAGCCAGCTCACAGTTTTTTAGCCTCTGGTTCACACATTTTTATCATAGCTCAGGAAGGAGGGCTCCAGAGCAAACTGATTTATGTAGCGGCCCAATCGCTCGCTCACAGCATTAATGCCAGGAGCTCACAAAGCAGAATTTTTGCTCACAAGACTCCACAGCTTAGAGGGAGCATAGACCAGTGTTCCCTCTAAGCTGAGTCAGTGTGAGCTAGCTCACAGTTTTTTAGCCTCCGGCTCACACTTTTTCCTCTTAGCTCAGGAAGAAGCTCCAGAAGAGCAAACCGATTGATGCAGCAGTCAAAATGCTCGCCCAGAACTTTAATGCCAGTCAGCTCACAAAGCAGAATTTTGGCTTGCGAGACTCCACGGCTTAGAGGGAGCATTCCCCGCCCTCCTTTCTGCAGCCCCGGCCCCCGACAGAGAACACCGGAATCGGAGGGTTCCTGACCTTCGTGCCTTCTTTTCCGGACGGTCCAGGCAGGCCCTGCTCCCCGGGGGGTCCTGGTGGGCCCGGGTGACCTCTCTCCCCCATCTGTCCCGTTTCTCCTGCCGGTCCCTGCCAGAGGAAGGAGGAAGACAGTGGCCACAGGACTTGGGGTTACGAAGCCGGCCTTAACCCCCAGCCCGGACTCTGGGCCCAGACTGGCTCCCCCTACACCCCCAACCCCGTGCCCCTCCGTCAGAGCCGGGGAGTCCACTCGGTGTTGGGAGCCCCTCGCCCCCGATCCACAAGGGGAAGGGGCAGAGAGTGATCAGCCGCTCCTTACCTGGGGTCCCACCACCCCCGGAGGTCCAGTGGTGCCGGTCTTGCCTTGAAAGCCCTGGGAGGAGGGGAGGAGAGAGAGGGGGGTCGTGAGTCTTTCTTTTCAGACAGGCTTCCTGCCATCCCTCTCAGATATCTGGGAGGGAGGGAAGCAGGAAGGACCAAAGGTCTCTCAGTGAAATGTTCAGCCAGGCTCAAATCAGACACTTTGTTCTGGCGGTTCCCGGAGCCGGTTTTGAGACATGCAGGAAAGAAAGAGCGTCCCTGAGCACGTGCAAAGTGCCCACTGTTGCAGGACAGGTAGTGCAGAAGGGCTTTCACCTTGATGGAGTGACACACATCCACACCTACAAAATCGCTGTTACCAGAATAAGTTGTGGAGGTGATATGGCTATACCTATGGCCCATCACTAATACCAGGAGTCCAATTATAAGTATACAAGGAAACAACATCTGGTTAAATTACATGTGCACTAAAACTCTGTAACAGGCCTTTGAATGTGTGTCTAGAACATATAGATAATAGTGACCACTGAGGAAGGCCCTTAAGGGGCCGAAACGCGTTTGGTCTTCAGTTGTGAAGTATTTACCCATCATATGTATGTATAGTGGATAAGCTTTTATAGTCTGATCTTAGACAAAGTAATTTTTAATCAGGAAAATTTTAACATGTGTAAGGTAAAGGTAAAGGTTCCCTTGCTCGAAAGCCAGTCGAGTCCGACTCTAGGGTTGCGGTGCTCATCTCCGTTTCCAAGCCGAAGAGCCAGCACTGTCCGAAGACGTTTCCGTGGTCATGTGGCCGGCATGACTAAACACCGAGGCGCACGGAACGCTGTTCCCTTCCCACTGAAGTGGTCCCTACTTATCTACTTGCAATTTCTTGCTTTCGAACTGCTAGGTTGGCAGGAGCGGGAACTAGAGACGGGAGCTCACTCCGTCATGCGGCAACCTGGGTCTCGCACTGCTGAACTATCGACCTTCCACAGCCTGCAGTTCAGCGTCTTAACCACTTGAGCCACCACCTTAATAAATATTTCTACTTTTATATATATGGTTTAGCTTAGCCCTTTTTGGGCTCTGTTTGATGCCAGGGTGCTGGGCGTGGGGAGGCCTTTGGGTCTGGGCCAGACCAGCATTTTAGGCTGTTGGGAATAATTTTGGCTTGTGGCACACACACCTAGCAGCGGAGCTCGTCAGATCTCGGGGGCTAAGCAGGGTCAACTCCGGCAAGTACTTGGATGGGAGACCTCCTTGGAATACCAGGGGTGGGAGGTGGGGGCAGGTTTTACTCAGCCACCTCTCTGAATAGCCTCCAGGCCCCCAGTAGGGGTCAGTCACCAGAGGTCGCCATGACTTCCAGGTGCGCTCACGCACAAATACAAATAAGAAAAATACCAAAAAGAAATCTAGCAGCAGGGCTGGGAGTAGAACCTCCATATTCATAGGAAGTCTACCTTTGAGCGCTAGTTGGCAAGCCAAAAAACAAGAGGACGGTTCATGGGGTTGTTTGTGGAAGGAGAAGGACATTGCTAGTCTGCGGGTGAGCAGAAGGTGGGTTGGGGACCCACTGGAAGACCCCGGGCCCTTCACTGGTCGGCCGCTGCCTGCCTGCTCCTCCCAGAGGCCGCTGGGATTCTTCCAAAGAAAGCCAGACTAGGAGGGCCTTGTCGTTGCAGAGATCCCAAAGGTGACCACACAAGCCCAGTGTTGGGTGTTACAAGTCAAAACACTTCAGTATTTACAGGGTTAATGATGTTTGTTAAGTCACATGTTTGTTTGTAACCAATCTGTTTAGACAGTAGGATGCCCGGGAACTTTGGGGCTAACTTGCTAGTCTGATTGGAAACCAAGGTGTCAAGTATTTAGCATATTGGCTTCTCCTCCCCTTCTTTGTTCTGACTGTGAAGAAGACGCCATTCCCTTCCCGTTTTACCTTTTAGCTGTAAGGATATAGCTCTTTGTTATTTTCATATCCTGTGTACCTTTTCCCCCATGTTAGGTTTATAGTAAACTTTTATATTTTAATACACACCATGGACTCAGTCTCTTAATACTCTGCTGACTTACTCAAAAAGAATCCCAACACCCAGCCTCCGTGTTCCCAAAATGGGACCCCTCTGGGGACCAGGCCTCGAGTTGACCTCCAAATAAAGAGCCACACAAACAGCCAAAGTGGAAAAATAACTGAGGAGTTCCTAGTGGCAAGAGTGTAACAGGAGGGCCTGCAAAAATGTTCCTATGACTAGCGGGTAACCTAGGAGTAAACCTGGAGTAACGCTGGAGTAACAATGCACAGGAGGGAAGCCAGAGTGCACTGTACATTCGAAGAGTTAGTGGCAGGTAGCTGGAATTTTAACACTCGAGTAGAGACTAATGTGACCGTAAAGGAAACACAAAAAAGGAGTAAGCAGGGAGTAACCTCCGAGTACTTCGAGAATTTATTTTCCATAGAGTCTACTGCTTCAGACCAACACAGCTGACTATCTGGATTTATTTTCTGCAGAACATTTCTACCTTTCCGGATGGTGACCAGACGACTAGATCGAAAGGTGAAAATATAGAGATTGTAGATAAATCATTACCTGGTAGCGCGGAAATTAGGAGTACAAGCAGAGCAGAAGGAAGCGGGAGAGAGTAGCAGGGGGGTGGAGCGACCTAGAGGCAACCAGGAGCGTTAAGTAGCAGCCGCCGCAAGAGGAACCGGGCAAGCACCCGTCCAGAGGGGGACTTACAACTTCTCCACGCTGTCCGGGGTGGCCGGGCAGCCCGTCCTTCCCGGGGGGACCCTGTGGACAGAGGGCAGGAAAGGCGTCAGTGGGCCAGGAAGGGGGGTGTGGGTGGGAGGGAGGGAGAGGGGCAGAGGGGGGTCACTGACTCACCGGGGGTCCTTTCGGTCCGGGGAACCCGTTTGGCCCTTGAGGTCCCGGCAGACCCTGGAGGAGGAGAAAGAGCAACCTGTGAGGAAGGAAGGGGAAAGGGTCTTCTGGGTCCACCCATGGAACCCCCCCCTGTCACGGGGCACAGAGCACCGGGTCCGCCAGGGCTCATCCTGGAGGTACGGGGGGGGGTGTTGAAAGCCGCCCGTCCACTCACTCACCCGCTCCCCGAGAGGTCCCGCGGGTCCTTCACTGCCAGAGGTGCCCTGCATGGAGAGACGTCAAGAAAGAGGGGAGGGAGGGGTGTTCCCTCTAAGCTGAGTTGGCGAGAGCTAGCTCACAGTTTTTTAGCGCACATCCTCGTCTCCGCTCAGGAAGGGAGGGCTCCTGAAGAGCAAACTAAGTGATGCAGCGGCCCAGTCGCTCGCTCACGACTTTAATACCAGTGGCTCACAAAGTAGAAGAAGAGGAGATTGGACTGATACTCCATGGCCCTTCACTACCCAAAGGGGTCTCAGAGCGGCTTACAAACTCCTCTCCTTTCCCCTCCCCACAACAGACACCCTGTGAGGGAGGTGGGGCTGAGAGAGCTCTTGACAGAAACGGCTCTTTTTCAAGGACAGCTCTTATCAGAACTACGGCTTGCCCAAGGCCATCCAGCCAGGTGCAAGTAGAGGAGGAGTGGGGAATCAAACTCGGTTCTCCCAGATAAGAAGAAGAAGAGGAGGAGGAGGAGGAGAAGGAGGAGGAGGAGATTGGATTTATACCCTGCCCTTCACTACCCAGAGGAGTCTCAGAGCAGCTTACAAACTCCTTTCCCTCCCCCTCTTATCAGAACTACGGCTTGGTTATGTGGAAGAGAAGCCCTACGAAGAGCATTTTCCTGTAAATCTTAAAAGCGCATCAGCCAGAAGGCTCATTTGCATTACAAACGCCCTGCGGTTCTTGGCTTGGGGCTCTGAGGCCGGCCGCAGCTAATCAGGCGATTGCTTTCCCCACATATTTACATGTGCAGGCCGGGCCCCATCCGCACCCCTCCACCAGAAGTTCCGACAGCTGCCCCCGCACGCGCAACCCCTTGGGGGTAGACCAGCCCCCCCGTTCCCTCGTGGCCCCACAAGCCAACCTTCGCTCCGAGCTTCCCCGTGGCTCCTCGTGGCCCGCGCTGACCTCTGGGGCCCTAGAGAAATGGAGGAGAAAGCAGGTGGAGATGAGGCACAGAATTAAAACTGGGGCTTCTCCGCACAGCTCCCTCCCACCTCCGCACTTGGGGAGAGCCACCCGCTTTGCCGTCTTCAGGAGCCCAGGTTTGGAGCCCCGTTGCTGAGACACTCCCCCCAAGCATGGATAGATCTACACCCAGGTACCTTCTCCCCCCCCACACACTCAAGAGGCAAAAATATCTTCTGGGGCAAGGACGTGAAGTCTGCAGAGCAGCTTCAAGTTTGCACACAACAGTTGGCATATCCCGGAGCCCACGGTGGAGTCTCAACCAGTCCGGAAGAAGAGATCCTCTTACCCTCCCCCCCATCTCCCTTGAGAGCCTTGGAACTTGGGGAGGCTTCCTTCAATTCCCTTTGCCCGGAGCCCTGATAGCTAACCTCTTGGGTTTGCCGTAGGGTTGGGGGGGGCAGGATGGTGGTGTTGGGTTGAGTGACTTAGCATGCCTGGACATTGGCAGGGGGGAGGCGCTACATCACTCTAAGGGTGTCTAGGTGTTTATAGCTCTATTTAAGCACTCTGCTAACGGGGACTGGACTAACCACACCAGTTAACCTCAACAGGTTACGGGCCCAGCAGTTATGTCCTTGAATGGGATGCCTCCCAGGTCTCTTAAGAACATAAGAACATAAGAGACGCCCATGTTGGATCAGGCCAAAGGCCCATCCACACAGTGTCCAAAAACATCAGGTGCCATCAGGAGGTCCAGCAGTGGGGCCAGGACACCAGAAGCCCTCCCACCGTTGACCCCCCTCCCAAGCACCAAGAAGACAGAGCATCACTTGCCCCAGAGTCCCTATCTATACCTTGTGGCTAATAGCTACGGCTGGACCTCTGCTCCATATGCCTATCTAATTCCCTTTTGAAGCCGTCCATGCTTGTAGCTGCCACCACCTCCTGTGGCAGTGAATTCCATATGTTAATCACTCTTTGGGTGAAGAAGGACTTCCTTTTATCAATTCTTTCTGGAAATGGGCAACTCCCCCTCCCCCTGCCCCCCAGCCGGCCCCTGAAGTACTCACGGTAGGTCCACGTTCGCCTCGGGGGCCCGCCTTCCCAGAGAGACCCTGAAAAGGAGGAAGCGAACAAGGAAAGGCTTCAAGTGCCGAACCCTGCAGAGAACTTTCCCCCTCTTTTGACTCGACCCTAACCCAGCAAGTGGGGGAAGGGCAAAACCCCCAATTCATCCTGCACAGAAGAAAGTAAAAGACACCCAGGAAGGGCTGGAAGGTGTACAATATTAAACCAGGGGCCACTGAGCATGGATGGAGTGCCGTTTTCTCCACTGGCAGTCGGGATGAAGAACCAGAGAGGGGGCTTGTGGGCCAGAGTGTGCGACTCGCAGGAAGGCTCTCCCTAATTCGCCACCAACGGAGTGGGGATCCTTTCCACCCACAAATTGTGTCTGAAGCTTCCAGGGCACTTCCCTGCCCGGCCCCTGGAACACCCTCTCCTCCCCCCCCCCACTCTGTAGCTGGGGGCATCTCAAGAGGGGCCTCCTGGCCCCAAAATTAGTAAAGGTAAAGGTTTCCCTTGCTCAAAAGCCAGTCGAATCCGACTCTTGGGATGCGGTGCTCATCTCCGTTTCCAAGCCGAAGAGCCAGCGCTGTCCAAAGACGTTTCCGTGGTCATGTGGCCAGCATGACTCACTGCAGAGGCACATGGAACACCATTCCCTTTCCACCGAAGCGGTACCTATTTATCTACTTCCATTTTTCTTACTTTCGAACAGCTAGGTTGGCAGGAGCTGGGGCCAGAGACGGGAGCTCACTCCATCATGCGGCACTCGGGTCTCGAACTGCCGAACTACAGACCTTCTGCTCTGCAGTTCAGCGTCTTAACCACTGAACCACCACAGCCCCAGAATTAGATCCCCCCAAAAAAACCCTTCCTATCCACTCCAGGGCCAGGATACCTCCTCCTACAGAGAATATCAGGGAGGGGGTAGCTCACCCGTCCGCCTTTCTCGCCGTTTGTCCCAGGGAATCCAGGGAAACCTTGCGAGCCCTGAGCAAAAAGTGGGGGGGGGGGAGAGAGAGAGAGAGAGAGAGAGAGAGAGAGAGAATAGGCACTCTAGAGAGAGAGAGAGAGAGAGCGGATTAGGAAGACGGACTGGGGGCAAGGAAGGTGAAAGCCTCCAGGAAGAAAAACGCTCGTCGGATCCTTCTAGAAATGCAGAACTGCAGGAAGCGTCGGAGACCCGTGGGGAGAAACAAATTTTTTAGGTATTTCTTTAAATTATCTATACTCCGCCTTCTCAGTGAAACTCAAACTGGCTCTCAACTGGCTCGATATGGTGACCCATCTCGAGCTAGACGCCAAATTTTGTCCACTGGAATCTAGCAGCGTTCAGGAGGATCTGAACTGAAAGCTCTTCTCCCAAACGTGCTCTCTGGACATCAAAAAATAACTCAGAAGGTGGACTGCAAAGGGCCGTTTGGGGACCCCTGGGGTTGGGCAGCTTCCGAAGTCCCTCCGGTTTCCCATCGGACTGCTCTTTACACCTCAAGGGCCTTTCTGGGCGGCTCGGGGGGCTACTGACCTTGGGACCCTGTCTCCCCGGGTAGCCAGGCAGGCCGGGAACTCCCAGCTTTCCCTGTGGGGAAAAAGAGAGAGAGAGAGAGATGGAGAGGTGACTGGAAGAGAGGAGCCCCAGCCGCACGCTGCAGATGACACCCAGGCCCCCCCCCTCCCAAGAACGTGGCCACAGCCACAGCCCCAGCCAGCCGGGACCCTCCCTCACCTTCTCTCCGAGAAGCCCAAGGGGGCCTGGATCTCCATGGGGGCCCGTCCGACCTTTGGGGCCCTCCGGGCCGTCCTCGCCTCGGGATCCCGGGACACCAACTTCCCCCTGAGCACGGAGAGAAGGCAGAGTGGGTGAAGCAGGAAGCAGGGATACCCACGTTTCCCAGCGGAGGCCGGACGACCACCTTTCAGGTGTGTTGTAGGTATGTAGGTATGTAGGGCTCTCTTCCGGCTCTGCTCCTGCAGAGTGCAGGGAGGGTTGGACTAGATGACCTCTAAGGTACCCTCCCACTCTTAACACTCTATGATTCTATGATTCTATGAAACAGGGGTGGGGGGGCCCTGGAGAAGATGGAGGGACTTTCTGGAGGGAGGAGCGGAAGGGGGGAGCAAACTTACCCGGTCGCCTTTCACCCCCATGTCCCCCTTGAAGCCAGGAAATCCTTCTTCTCCCTGCAGGAAACAGAAACCATGAGGCCGGGGGTGGGGGGGGGAGAGTCAAGGATTCCTGGGTCTCCCCCCACACACACACACACCAAAGAAGCACCCCCGTCTCTCTCAGAAGGCAAATGCTACTCTCGGGCTGCGGTGCCCCTTTCTCCCCTGTATGGGGGAGGGCGGTTCAAAAAAATCTAATTTAACAAATAAACAGATGAAAGGAGAGAGAGAAAAGAGATTGAATTTATACCCCCGCCCTTCAGTCGGAGTCTTAGAGCAGCTTACAAACTCCTTTCCCTTCCCCTCCCCACAACAGACACCCCGTGAGGTGGGGGGGGCTGAGAGAGCTCTTGACAGAAACGGCTCTTGAGAGAACGGCTCTGAGAGAACCAGGGGTCATTTCCTGCAAGAGCGCACAGGAGCGGAGCTCCGGCAGTAAGGAGCCCAGGGGGCGAGCACATGCAACAAGCCCTGCCCCTTGCTCCCAGCAGCCCTCAGTCAGGCCATGAGGAGCAAGAAGCAGCCAGGCAAGTTGCAGAGGGCCCCCGCCTGGCCCGCCTTCAGGTACCAGCTCTCCCTCCTCTGTGAGGGCAGATCTGTGCGTTCCCCCCCCAATAGCTAGCAATCCAAAACAGTCCAGTGGCACCTTTAAGACCAAGTTTTATTCAGGTACACGCTCTCCCTCCTCTGTGTGGGCAGATCTGCGCGTCCCCCCCCCCATAGCTAGCAATCCAAAACAGTCCAGTGGCACCTTTAAGACCAAGTTTTATTCAGGTACACGCTCTCCCTCCTCTGTGTGGGCAGATCTGCGCGTCCCCCCCCCCATAGCTAGCAATCCAAAACAGTCCAGTGGCACCTTTAAGACCAAGTTTTATTCAGATACAAGCTCTCCCTCCTCTGTGAGGACAGATCTGCACGTTCCTCCCCCTCCCCAATAGCTGGCAATCCAAAACAGTCCAATGGAGCCTGAGCGGTGGGTGTTGCCTTCTGACACACTTCCGGTGATGTCAGGGGGTGTGGCATTTGCAAATAAGTTATGCTAATGAGTTATGCTAATGAGCTCCTGCGCCTCTTTTTCTACGAAATGACCCCTGGAGAGAACTATGGCTTGTCCAAGGTCAACCAGCAGCTGCAAGAGGAGGCGTGGGGAATCGAACCCGGTTCTCCCAGATTAGAGTCCGCGCACTTAACCACGACACAAAGAAGTATAGAATTTAGGAGTGCCAATTGCCAGCTTTCTCACGAGGAGCCCTCTGAATTCCTCTGCTGCTCGCTTATGACCAGCCATGTCTGGCCGTGGGCCGTTGACAGGAAAAGAAGGCGGACTTGTGGTGGGGGGAGCTCAGCAGAGTAGGAGGCAGCCTCACCCCCAAAGTGTCCCGAGGAAACCCCCCCCCCCAAAAAAAAACCCCCAAGGACTTGGTGGTTTCCAGTTGGTTTGGACGCTACAAATATAATCTGCCAGTAAGACTCCAGCATTATTTCCTAGCAAGGTTCACACAAAGCAGGAGTCGGAGTCCCTTCTCGTGCGATACACAGACTTAAGGGTCAAACGCCCGGATTGGGTTCCCTGTGACCAGAGTCTGCAAAGCCAAGGAAAGGGAACTGAGTGGCACTTCCACAGCAGAGACCTTTGTTGTGGGTCCGATCCCCCTTTGTCAGAGGCTGGGTTACCCGATACACTAGGCGTACAAAGAATATTGGGGG